CAGCAGAATTGGAATCTCTCTCTCTATATATATATAAAAAAAAGAATCAAATGGAAATTAATTAATTAATTTATTTATTTTCTTTTGAGACAGAGTCTCGCTTTGTCTCCCAGGCTGGAGTACGGTGGCACGATCTCGGTTCACTGCACCCTCCGCCTCCCAGATTCCGTCGATTTTCCTGCCTCAACCTCCCAAGTAGCTGGGATTACAGGCATATGCCACCACGCCTGGCTAATTTTTTGTATTTTTAGTAGAGAGAAGGTTTCGCCATGTTGGCCAGGCTGGTCACAAACTTCGACCTCAAGTGACCTGCCCGCCACAGCCTCCCAAAGTGCTGGGATTACAGGCGTGAGCCACTCCTCCTGGCCCTCAAATGGAAACCTTAGAACCGTAAAACAGTATATGAAATTAAGTACTCACTAGTTGGGCATAGTAGAAGACAAGATTAGTGGATTCAGACACATTAACAAAGTATTCAAGGTAATGCAGAGGTAAAAGCTAATGGGGAAGAAAGCAGAGCAGAATGTATGAAACCAGGGGGGCATAGTAGTGAAAAGGTCTAATTTATATGTAATGGAGTCCCAGAAGCAGAAAAGAGGAAAAAAAAGAAACAGTGGCAACATTTTTTAAAAGTAGTGGCTAAAAATCTTCTAAATATGATAAAACAAAATACCAACCCACAGATTAAGTGAACCTCAAACAAGAAAAATAAACTCAGTGAAATTCAAGCAAACATATCATGGTCAAATGATAAAAATCAAAGCCAAACAGCCCTAAGGAGGTGGTGCAGGTTGAGCATTCCTAATTCAAAACTCCGAAATGCAGCCGGGCGCAGTGGCTCAGGCCTGTAATCCCAGCACTTTGGGAGGCCAAGGCTGGTGGATCACGAGGTCAGAAGTTCGAGACCAGCCTGGCCAACATAGTGAAACCCCCGTCTCTACTAAAAATACAACAATTAGCTGGGCATGGTGGCGCACACCTGTAGTACCAGCTACTTGGAGGCTGAGGCAGGAGAATCACTTGAACCGGGGAGGCGGAGGTTGCGGTGAACCAAGATTGTGCCACTGCACTCCAGCTTGGGCAACAGAGCAAGACTTCGTCTCAAAAAATAATCTGAAATGCTCCAAAATCCAAAACTTTTTGAGCATTGACATGATACCACAAATGGAAAATTCCACACCTGTCCTCATGTGACAAGTCACAGTCAAAATGCCGTCAAAATTTGGTTTTGTGCACAAAATTATTTTTAAGATTATGTATGTGTATGTGTACATATATGTATAAGGTGTATATGAAACATAAATGAATTTTTTTTTTTGAGACAGGGTGTCTCACCCAGGCTGGAGTGCAGTGGCATAATCAGGGCTCACTGTAGCCTCTACCTCCCTGGGCTTAGGTGATCCTCCCACCTCAGCCTCCCAAGTAGCTGGGACCACAGGTGTGTGCCATCCACCTAGCTAATTTTTGTATTTTTGTAGAGACGGGGTCTCACCGTGTTGCCCAGGATGGTCTTGAAATCCTGGGCTCAAGCGATTTGCCTGCCCTCGCCTCCCAAAGTGCTGGAATTACAGGTGCAAGCCACCGTGCCTGGCTCATAAATGAATTTTGTGTTTAGACTTGGGTCCCATCCCTTAAGATATCTCATTATATATATGCAAATATTCCAAAATCCAAAAAAATCCAAAACACTTCTGGTCCCAGACATTTCAGATAAGGGATACTCAGCCTGTATATTATCTACACAGGAACAACAGAGACAGCTAACTTTTCCTCAGATGTGGAAGCCAGGAAAGAGTAAAATTATGTCTTTAAAGTGCTTGGGGGAAAACTGATCTAAAACACCAAAAATAATAATATCTTACCAAATTTATAATGTATATAAAAATAGACTCTCTGACATAACACAAAGGGAGTAAAGGAATAAGAGGTAAATCGTTTTAAGTTTGGAGCAGGTAAAAATACTTGAGTAAAATGTAATAAACCAAGGAAGCATATTGTAGTCTCAATGATCAAAAATAACAAGAGAAGATAAAAAGCCAACAGAGGAGAGAAAAATTTGAACATTGAAAAATGCTTGTTTAATCAAAATAAAAAGCAAGAGAAGAGAAAAGAATAAATGGAACAAAGATCAGGATGGTAGAATTAAACGCAACTACATCCATAATTAAATTACATTTAGGTACACTAAACATTGCAATTAAAAAAAAGATAAGTCTGGATTTTAAACACAAACACAAATACTATAATGGTATTTATAAGATACATACTGTAAGGTATTTTAAGAGACTGAAATTAAAAGGATGGAAAAGTTATACTCTGCAAATCCTAACTGAAGAAAGCCTATGTAGCAGTAGACTTTAAGGCAAGAAATAGTACTAGGGACAAAAAGAATGTTTCATAATGATAAAAGGGTCAGTTCAACAGGGACATAAAAATCCAAAATGAGCTATGTAACTACATAGTTTCAAAATGCATAAAAATGTATATGATTGGGATATTCTAGTTAAATATTCAGATGAGAATCAGAGTATAAACAATTTGTAGAGTACCCATCTTTAAAGAAGAAAAAGAGATACTTTATAAACATCATTGTCTTTCTTTGATGATTTTAAGAGAATTTGGAAAGAACTTTCCGCATATAGGACAGACCGATCCGTTGCATACACTTCTCACAGCAGATTGTCCATTTCAAAGCAACAGCTCCTGTTTACTAGTCTTATTTGGGGACAGTAATAAACCTTGGTAAACGCTAACAGGTGTGAAATCCTTACATTTATTGACAGTATGCTAAGTATTTACCATATGGTTTTTTTTTGTTTGTTTGTTTTTTTGAGGAGTCTCACTTTGTCACCCAGACTGGAGTGCAGTGGTGCAATCTCTACTCACTGCAACCTCTGCCTCCCAGGTTCAAGTGATTCTCCTGCCTTAGGCTCCCGAATAGCTGGGATTACAGGCGTGTGCCACCACACCCAGCTAATTTTTATATTTTTAGTAGAGATGGGGTTTCGTCATGTTGGCCAGGCTGATCTTGAACTCTTGACCTCAGGTGATCCGCCCACTCAGCCTCCCAAAGTGCTGGGATTACAGGTGTGAACCACCGTGCCCAGCTGGCATAAAATAATTTAATAGTTCTAATTATCAGAAAATTCTGAAGAGTGAAGTTCTTTTTTTGTTTTGTTTTGTTTTGTTTTGTTTTTGAGATGGAGTCCAGCTCTGTCATGCAGGCTGGAGTGCAGTGGTGCAATCTTGGCTCACTGCAACCTCTACCTCCCGGGTTCAAGCGATTCTCCTGCCTCAGCCTCCCAAGTAGCTGGGACTACAGGCGCCCACCACCACGCCCAGCTAATTTTTTGTACTTTTTGTAGAGACGGGGTGTCACCATGTTGGCCAGGATAGTCTCGATCTCTTGACCTCGTGATCCGCCTGCCTGGGCCTCCCAAAGTGCTGGGATTACAGGCATGAGCCACCGCGCCCGGCCTTTGAATGAAGTTTTGAATGAAAGCTTATTGGTAATTAGAAGTTATTTTCATAGGTTCCAGCTTATTTAGATTGGTTAATCCTAATAGTCAATTAAAATAATAAGGATAAAATAGAAGAAGAGAATGGAAAAGAAGTTCAGTTATAGTAAGCCCTCACTGAATATTAATTCCCTTACTCCTTTTCTCCTTCCCCCAACAACTTCTGGTTGTATTTCCATGGTTAGTAAAATGTACTGGATTTCACTTTTTTCCCCCCACCCCGAGATGGAGCCTCGCTCTGTCACCCAGGCTGGAGTGCAGTGGCGCAATCTCTGCTCACTGCAGCCTCCGCCTCCCGTTCAAGTGATTCTCCCACCTCAACTTTCCAAGTAGCTGGGATTACAGGCACCTGCCATCATGCCCGGTTCATTTTTGTATTTTTGTAGAGATGTGGTTTCACCATGTTGGCAAGGCTGATCTTGAACTCCTGACCTCAGGTGATCTCTGCCCACCTCAACCTCCCAAAGTGCTAGAATTACAGGCAAGAGCCACCGCACCTGGCTGGATTTCACTTACGAAGATGACAGTACCTAGTTAGATGAAAAGCTCAGAAAACTTCCTTTTAAGTATTGAGTTTCAAAGTCGTGTAGAGTCTTTTTAATAGTTTAAAAAATGTATTTTGAGAAATCACTTATTTCTCAAAAAAATAACTGAACATCTAAATAATAATGATTTAACCCCATTACATTTTCTTTAGAGAATCATAGTCTATTTTAAATACCATTCCTGATGACCGGTTGATAAAGTTTCCAAGAGATACGAGGGATGGCCTGACTTGCAGGCAGGTAGGGAAGGTGATGCGGGAGATAGGAAGTGAAATAGGGTTGCTGGCTTGGTGAGACACTGTTGGGAAGAATTTGGAAAAGGAGGCATTTTGCTGGCCTGTGATAAGATGGGGTGAGCTGCTGATCAGGGGGTTGAGGGAGGGGGGATTACAAAGGAATACGAGAAAGGAACCATGTGTAATATCTTGAAGAAAGTCAAACAGGTGATATTGGATAAGGAAACTGTTTCACAGAAGTAATTCAATATAAAGTTATGTAGTTAGTATATTTGGCAAAACCAAGACTAGAACTTTCTTCTGAATTCCTGTTTTAAAGTTCTTTTAGACACGATCTTGCCACCATTCCTCAGTAACCCAAGTTTGGTCATTGTTAAATGTTGATATTAGAAAGTACCAGTACCTCATAGTGGCACCCTAAATTCTTATTAATCAAATGAGGTTGGCTTTTGAAGACATTAGTATTAAAAATAAGATATAAGATGGAATGAAAAATTAGACATGTTAAAACATAGATTAACATTTTCTAAGCTCTTCTTGATATTCTCATGTTTAAAATTTATTTTGTTGCTTTGTTACAAGAATTATTTCACTAAATAAACTTAATATACTTTGAATCAGTTAGTGGCTAGGGGGTTTGTTATGTTTTCCTAGTGGTAGTCAGGACCATTGTTCTTTCATGTTTTAATCTTGTGTGTTAGGTATGGTGAACCGTGAAGTACTGGAACAAGTGGAGCGAGGATACAGGATGCCCTGCCCTCAGGGCTGTCCAGAATCCCTCCATGAATTGATGAATCTGTGTTGGAAGAAGGACCCTGATGAAAGACCAACATTTGAATATATTCAGTCCTTCTTGGAAGACTACTTCACTGCTACAGAGCCACAGTACCAGCCAGGAGAAAATTTATAATTCAAGTAGCCTATTTTATATGCACAAATCTGCCAAAATGTAAAGAACTTGTGTAGAGTTTCTACAGGAATCAAAAGAAGAAAATCTTCTTTACTCTGCATGTTTTTAATGTAAACTGGAATCCCAGATACGGTTGCACAAAACCACTTTTTTTCCCCCAAGTATTAAACTCTAATGTACCAATGATGAATTTTCCAACGTATTTCAGGGTCCAAAGAAAATAGAGCTAAGATACTGATGACAGTGTGGGTGATAGCATGGTAATGAAGGGCAATGAGGCTACTGCTTATAAATCATTTCCTTTCTTTTTTTCCCCACAGAATTGCTCAAAGAAAATTATTTATTGTTACAGATAAAACTTGAGAGATAAAAAGCTATACTGTAATAAAATCTAAAATTAAGGAGTACATGGGACCAAATGATTCCATTCCAGTTTTTAAAGTTTCTTGCATTATTCTCAAAAGTTTTTTCTAAGTTAAACAGTCAATATGCAATCTTAATATATGCTTTCTTTTGCATGGACATGGGCCAGGTTTTTCAAAAGGAATATAAACAGGATCTCAAACTTGATTAAATGTTAGACCACAGAAGTGGAATTTGAAAGTGTAATGCAGTACATTAATGTTTATATTCATGGAACTGAGAGAATAAGAAGTTTTCCACTTCAGTCCTTTTCTGAGGAGTTTGTCTTAGAATAATGAAGGTAACTAGAAAGTGAGTTAATCTTGTATGAGGTTGCATTGATCTTTTAAGGCAATATATAATTGAAACTACTGTCCAATGAAAGGGGAAATGTTTTAATCTTTAGATAGCATTCTAAGTAAGACCCAGCATTTAAAAAGCCCTTTTAAAAAAATAGATTTGGTACTGTGAGATATTGCTAATATGTCCTTATGGGGATGGGTGCCACAAATAGAAAATATGACCAGATCAGGGATTTGAATGCACTTTTGCTCATGGTGAATATAGATGAACAGAGAGGAAAATGTATTTAAAAGAAATACGAGAAAAGAAAATGTGAAAGTTTTACAAGTAGAGGGATGGAATGTAATGTTTAATGTTGATGTCATGGAGTGACAAAATGGCTTTGCTGGCACTCAAAGCTCCTCACTTAGCTATGTTCTGAGACTTTTAAGAGTTATAAGGTATAACTATAAAACTAATTTTTCTTACACACTAAATGGGTATTTGTTCAGAATAGTGAAGTTACGGCTTCACATTCATTCCTGTGGGATATGACTTTAATGTAAAACATTTTTAGGACTCCAGTTTTCAAATAATGTTTGAATCTACTTTCGCTTTTAAAGTCTACATAATGGTGGTCATTTTTTCCCTTTTAGAATACATTAAATGGTTGATTTGGGGAGGAAAACTTAGTCTGAATATTAACAGCGGTGAAAAGGGAACAGTTTTTACCCTAAAGTGCAAAAGTGAAACGTACAAAATAAGACTGATTTTTAAGAGTAACTCAGTAATTTCAAAATACAGATTTGAATGGCGGCATTAGTGGTTTAAGTGTCTAGCAGAGGAAAAATCGAATCTGATAAAATGAAGATCTGGTGTATATGTTTTAAAATACTCTCATATAGTCACACCTTAATCTTATATTAGGCCCCTCTATTTTCAGGATATAATTCTTAACTATCATTATTTACCTGATTTTAATCATCAAATTTGAAGTTCTTTGCCATGGCATATATGTTCAAATTCAAACCATTTTAAAATGTGACAGGTGGACGTCATGCAAGTTGGCAATAGTTCTGGTACTAAAAATTGTGGTTGTTTTTTTCTGTTTACGTAACCTGCTTAGTATTGACACTCTCTACCAAGAGGGTCTTCCTAAGAAGAGTGCTGTCATTATTTCTTCTTGTCAACAACTTGTGACATGAGATTTTTTTAAGGGCTTTATGTGAACTATGATATTGTAATTTTTCTGAGCATATTCAAAAGGGTAACAAAATTATGTTTATGTACTAAATCTAATCAGGAAAGTAAGCCAGGAAAAGTTGATGGTATTCATTAGGTTTTAACTGAATGGAGCAGTTCCTTATGTAATAACAATTGCATAGTAGGGATAAAACACTAACTTAATGTGTATTCATTTTAAATTGTTCTGTATTTTTAAATTGCCAAGAAAAATAAACAACTTTGTAAATTTGGAGATTTTTTCCAACAGCTTTTCGTCTTCAGTGTCTTAAAGTGGAAGTTAACCTTTACCAAAAAAGGAAGTTGGCAAACACAGCCTTCTAGCACACTTTTTTTAATGAATAATGGTAGCCTAAACTTAATATTTTTATAAAGTATTGTAATATTGTTTTGTGGATAATTGAAATAAAAAATTCTCATTGAATGCACCTATTAATCCTTTTAGTTGCCGTTCATATTCTCATTCATTTTTTAAAAATTGGTATATTCTGAATTTATTCTTCCATTGGGGAAAAAATGTTCAGTTACTTGTAACTACTGAGCAGAATTTAATCAATCCTTTATTAAATTCAGAACATTATTGAACTCATTCTTTGTGGTCAATTTTCTGTGTCAAGTGAGTGACATTATTTTTATAAGCATTTTCTTCTTTTTAAAATTATACCAGCAAATACAGTTAATGCAGAAACCTAAGTAATCTGAGTGGAGCTATTCACAATCTCTGTAAAGAATATAAAATAGAATGACCAGTTTTATTATAAATTAAGGGGCTTAATTTTCTAAAAAAGGAAAATATGAGCCTTATCTCTGTGTGTTTTATAATTATTTTATTATATAGGTATAATGAAAATAAAATAGTACTAAATTTTGAATGGTCATTCAAAAGCATTTATTTTCAATAAGATAATAGTGTTAATTACCGTTTACTACTATCTAAAATTATTGGCTTTTTCTCTGATTTCTAAAACACCTCATTTAGTAAACGTTTATTTTTGTAGTATAGCAATAGTTCCTCAATTTAAGAATGTTTTTCTAGTTTCCTGTTTGCCTTTTAATTTTCCGTATAATTTCTGACATGTAAGTTGTACATTTGTAGATTGTCAAATCTGTTCATTCCTTTTTTATGCTTAGAAGTCCTCATCTACCCCAAGATTAATATTCATCTATCTATATTATAGTTTGTGCTTGTGTGTGTGTGTGAGAGAGAGACAGGATCTTGCTCTGTTGCCCAGGTTGAAGTGCAGTGGCACCGTCATGACTCACTGCAGCCTCGACCTCCCAGGCTCAAGCAATCCTCCCACGTCAGCCTCCCAAGTAGTTGGGAGTACAGGCGTGAGCCACTTTGCCTGGCTAACTTTTAATATTTTGTAGAGACAGGGTTTTGCCATTTGCTTAGGCTAGTCTCAGAACTCCTGAGCTCAAGTGATCCACCTGCCTCGGCCTCCCAAAGTGCTGGGATTACAGTCATAAGCCACTGCACCCAGCCCTATAGGTTATGCTTTTTAAAAAGCATTTTAATTCATTTGGAAGTTGAGTATAAAATGTGGCTTAAGGGCCAGGCACATTTTATACTCAATGTGGAGTGCTGTGATGCGATCTTGGCTCACTGCAACCTCTGCCTCCCAGGTTAGAGCAATCCTTGCGCCTCAGCCTCCCGAGTAGCTTGAATTACAGGTGCATGCCACCATGCCCAGCTAATTTTTGTGTTTTTAATAGAGACAGGGTTTCGCCATGTTGGCCAGGCTGCTCTCGAACTTCTGACCTCAGATGATCCGCCCACCTCGACCTCCCAAAATGCTGGGATTATAGGCGTGAGCCACCACAACTGCCCCAAAACAAATATTTTTTAAATGAGTTTTTCAGTGTCTATTTTTCCAATATTAGTAAACCATTTCTTCTAAAACTGTTGGACAGAATGTTCAATTAGCTGTTATACTGCAATTCAATAACTTACGAGTTGAATTTTAAAATGAATAGGAAGGAGGCTGGATGCAGTGACTCATGCCTGTAATCCCAACACTTTGGGAGTCTGGTCTGGAGGATCGCTTGAGCCCAGGAGTTCAAGATCAGCCTGGGCAGCATGACGAAACCCCATCTGTACAAAAATTAGCTGGGCATGGTGGTGCGTACCTGTGGTCCCAACTTCTAAGGAGGCTGAGGTGGGAGAATTGTTTGAGCCCAGGAGGTAGAAACTGCAGCGAACTGCGATCGCGCCACTGCACTCCAATCTGGGTGACAGAGTGAGACCCTGTCTCAAAAAAAAAATAGAACTAGAAATGACACTTAGTAAAACAATAAAAGCTAAGTAGATAATATGTGCAAATTCTGTAGCAGCAGGAATGGCCCCTGGGACCTTGAAGAAACAGATGGCGGTATTCAATTTTAAGATCCTTGCAGAGTCCTTGCTACCCCAAACCTTCCTGCAAATTGGCTACACACAACCGTGAGTCAGTGACCTTAGGAAAGAAAAGGGATTGGGGTCACAGCCAGAAGGTGTAATGACAAGCTACAAAAAAGGATAGGGATGGATTTCATAACCTAGCTTAAATGCAATGGGGAAATTCGGGAAATAAATCAGGTCAGCAGAAGAAAAGACTACCAAGTACTTCCAGAGATACTTGGAGAGACACTGGATTTCACAGGGACATGGCATAGGGGTTCAATCCAGCTTCACTGTGATCTTAAAGGTCAAGTTAACTTGAGTAAGTTGGAGGACTTTGAAAATCCAAGTAAATTGTCACTAGCCTGTGACAATAGGGATGAGAGAAATAAAAACTTTGCAGTTGACCAAAAAGGTTGACAGTGATTCTAATAACTGAATTAAAGTGGTGTGGCCCTTAAAGTTTATTAAATTCCACTTATTCACTCATAATTGCACCATTTTCATGGAAAGTCTTAGTCTCCTAAAACACTGAGAGGATATACCGTGGAACTAGATGGCAAACTTGGTTTGGTTGGTTTTTGTAATCTTTATAATTGCTAGAAAGTTAGAAAAGGGTGGTGTCACTTCAGCAGAAATTTTGAAAAACTCGTGGAACCAGAAGAAACCCAATCTAAAAGAAATACGAGAGAACATTTTTGCAGTTTTAAGTGCAATTTCAAAGAAAATTCAAACTTAGAATCAAATTCAAAGAGGAGGCAGCACCCCAAAGCAATATTTTTTGTTTTACTGAGGTATAATTTATATACAACAAACTCACCATTTTAAGTGTACCACTAGAGTTTTTGACAAATGTATACAGCCATGAAACCACTACCAGAATCACAGAACATTTCCATCATTTCAGAAAATTCCATTATGCCCCTTTACAGTCAACCTCTTCCATTCACCCTGACCTCTGGCAACCGCTGAGTGTTTTCTGTGACTGTAATTGTACATTTCTAGGGCTTTATTATATAAATGGAATCATATGTAGTCAATGTGTCTGATGTCTTTCGTTTAGCATAATGCTTTTGAGATTCATGTTTTTATGGCTCAGTAATATTCCATTGTGTGAATGTGTACTACATCCTGGTTTTGTCCTTTTACCAGTTGATGGATGTTTAGGTTGTTACTAGTTTTAGGCTATCAGAAAGCTGCTATGAACATTCAAATACAAGTTTTTATTTTAAACATAGGTTTTAAATTCTCTTGCATAATTACCTGAGTAGGATTACTGAGTTGTATAGTACATGAATGTTTAACTTTCTAAGAAACTGATAACCTATTTTCCAAAGAAGCTGTACCCTTTCACACTCCTCCAGCAATGTATGAGAGTTCCAGCTGCTTCACATCCTTGCCAATACTTGGTATTGCCAGTCACTTTAATTGTAGCCATCCTGGTGCGTGTTAGTAGTACATCACTGTGGTTTTAATGTGCGTTTCCCTAATGACTAATAATGTTGAGTCTTTTCATAAGCTTATTTCAAATTCATATATCTGCTTAGGTGGAATATCTATTAAAGTCTTTTGCCCATTTTTTATATCAAGTCATCGTACTGAGTTGTAATTTTTTCAATATTCTGCATACAAGTCCTTTAACAGATGTTTTGCAAATATTTTTCTCTCAATCACAGCTTGCGTTTTCATTTATTTAATGGTTTTTTATCAAAGAGAAAACATTTTTAATTTTGATAATTTGACAGTGTTTTTCTTTTATGATTCATGCTTTTAATGTCCTAAGAAAGTTTGTTTTATCCAAGTACAAAAAGATTTTCTCCTGTGTTTTCTTTAGAAGTTCTGTAATTCTAGCTCTTAAAATTTGGATCTATATTCCACTTCGAGATGATTTTTGTGTATGATATAAGGTAAGGATCCAGGGTGGTTTTGTTCGTTCATAGGGATATTCAATTGTTCGAGCACCATTTGTTGGAAAGACTGTCTTACTCATTGAATTT